GGGGATGAAAGGAATCACGGCCGCGCCGGCAAAACGGAAGGAAAATGTCACTTTCAGCATTTAGCCGAAAGTGCCATTTTCGGCCGGCGCCCCCCCTTCACTTTTCGCCCGGGGCCCGCGCCCCTGCTGCACCCCCGGTTGTTACGCCACTGAGTACGGCGAGCACCTTCACAGAATGCGTCGGTGGCAGATGTCTGTCTTCGCGATGTCACAATACAAGTATGGCGAGCACCTACAGAATGCGTCGGTAGCGGTTATCTGACCTCGCGATATCACAATACCTTTATTCTCTGCGCCAAGTAGACTTCCCCCCGCTGGTGTTTTCTGCCCACGTGACTGAGGCCGACCGCTCTCACTTATAATGTCCAGTACTCGGCCCTTCTGTCTGCAGCATTCATAGAGTCTCTGCCGGTGAGAATAGAGCACCTAGAAGACCAGAAAGGAGCTCAGGAAGGTGCAGGACGCTGCAGGGAACAGTACAAGTTCTGCTGGAAACACATATGGCTGGTGAAAACTTCTGCCCGGCTATGGTGAGGCGTTCTTAGCACATTCCTGTACACAGATTGTCCAGCGTGCTGAAAAATCTCAACGTTAGTGGGAAAAGAGACATCTGCTATAGAATAACCTCCGTCACCTTTCACAGTACATGACCTCATCTGCAGGGGATGTGATGAAGACGTGTAAGAAAAATGGGGTTCCAATCTACCCATTATATATTATTATTAGATAGATGCATTTATTTTTATTTGGGCCTAGGAATCTCTTATTTGCTAAGGGGATGGAGACTGTGTTTGGACAAGGCATGGTTGTCCTTAAACGAGAACTATGAGGTGAGTGATTTTCACTCAACCTTATAGTTCTAGCCGACCTGTGACAATGAAACTGTCACACGTCGGCTCAATAGATCGGGAACACATACCGGCGCTCGCTCACTTCTCGATCATGTCCCTGCAGAGAGCCGTGACTGTCACTCATGGCTCCCTGCAGGGATTCCCACCCTCCCCTGTCCGATCCTCCAGTGCTGACTAGAAGCTCTGCTTCTAGATAGGCAGAGCCAGCTGTCAATCACACAGCTGGGTGGATCCAGACAGTAATGTCCCCGCTGTGGCGGTCTCAGTATACTGAGTATACTGAGCCTAGGGTGACGGGAGGACGCTAGTTTGTGTCCTCCCGTGACCCTAAGGAGAACTATGGGGAAAAACACTTACCCCCATAGTTCTCCTTTAAGGGTCTTCAGGGACAACTGCAAGCCCCGGCTACTCTGTGCCTAAACCACTTCATATTAGCACAAGGCAGTCTGACATCTTTCAAGAGTGAAACACGGAACAGATAGAGACTAAAGCTGGCCATACACTGGCCAAGTCCAAGTGGCCCCCCTTGGAACCGCCCCCCCCTTCCTTTAGTTTTTCAGTCAACTTTTGTCAAAGGAACCAGTTGGAAAAATCTCAGCCAATGACTGCAGCCAACCGGCACCCCCACCCCTGGCAGAATACAATAGACCTGTGTGTAAGGGGGGGTTCCCCCCCCATCCTTGCCGTTAGCGTGTTAATAATTGAGAGTTTTTTCTCATTCAGCCTGCGTGAGATGAATGAGAAAAGCTAAAAGGGGCGGATTTATTCATTCTTTTGTGCAGCATATAGCTGGGAGAATGCCTTTCGCATGGCACTACCAGCACTAGATGAAGCTGAGGAACATTGGAGATTCCTATGCTCCTCAGCACCTTCTAGGGGCAGTAGTGCCATGCAAACAACATGCGCCCAGCTATATGCTATAGGGTGAAATCAGTGGCGTAACAATCGCCATAGCGACCCAGGCGGCCGCTATGGGGCCCGGCCAGATGCCGTGCGGGCCGCCCTTGGTCGCTATGGCATCTTATGCTGGTGGCTTTCACTGGCGGCTGTGAGAAGAATGCGCTGTTGTTCAGGTCACTGACAGTGTGCAGCAGGGCGTTCTTCTCACAGCCGCTGCGGAGTTAATGAGAGCCAGCAGCGGCGATGGAGCAGGCTGACGGAGAAGGAGGCAGGCCCGGCGACGGAGGAGGAGGCGGGGCCCATCAGCGAGCAGGCTGACGGAGAAGGAGGCAGGCCCGGTGACGGAGGAGGAGGCGGGGCCCATCAGCGATCGTGCAGGAAGAGGAGGCGGACAGGTAAGGAGTGTGACCTGCCCACCTGAGGGTGACCCTGTAGAGCCCACCACAAAAATTTGCTATGGGGCCCTGTGATTTCTAGTTACGCCCCTGGGTGAAATATTTATAAATCGGCCCCTTAGTGTCTGGCCAGCTTCAGACTTGTATCTCTTTCGCCTGGTATGTATCTTAACCAATAACTGACTTTAAGCAGTCTTGAGACTTCGTACAGCTGGAGTTCTGTGTACCGCTTCAGGTCCAGGAGGCTGCTCCTCTCCTCTTGAATAAGAGGGTCAACTTTGTCTGGATACTAAGAAAAAAAAAATACAAGACGGTAAGTAGTATAATTAGCTAACGACGGCATGCTGGCCACAGATTGTGATATCACAGCACACGTTATCACAAAGTCATCTGTCCTATTGACCTAAAGTCAAAAGAGGTGGAAAGAGTTAAAACACCTATCATTTGGGGATATTTTCCTTCACTTCCTGTCCCAAAGTGGAAACTTCCCAAAGTGTGGTAAATCCCCCCTTAGATAGCTGTCTCAAGAACAGGTATCTTGGTATACAGACAGTCCCCGGGTTACAAACAAGATAGGGACTGTAGGCTTGTTCTTAAGTTGAATTTGTAAGTAAGTTGGAACAGGTACATTTTTAAGTGTAACTTCAGCCCAAAAAAAGTTTTTAGTTTTGGATAGCATAGGGAAGGGTTTGCCCCCTGTAATGTTTGTTTTGCTGTGTGTGCCCCTGTTCAGAAGATTTCACCTCACTTTCTGTCCCTGTGACAATTGGATTTAGAAAATTTTGGGCTGTCGTGGAAACAAGGATTGGTGATAAAGCTTCAGTGGAGACACCTTTTTCCCATGATCACTCTTACAGGAGTGATTTTCCCTTCCTAGGGGTAGATTTCTTTTCACTTCCTGTTGTCTCATGTACAGAAAGTGAGAATTAATCTTTCTAATGAGGATACAGACAGCAATAAAAACCTCACAGTGACCCGGAAGAAGAGGCGGGCACCCCCTCGTCTCCACGTCTAACAGGAGCCAACTTCCTGTAATGTATGTACAGTACTACGAACCAGACCCAAAAAGGCGGGAACTCCTCGTCAGCACGAGCGTGGAAGCATTACAACTACTGAAATGCTGCGCGGTACACTTTGGCTGTAGCCTGGGACCCCCCCCTGCTGTACAGTAATAGCCTCCGTTTGTAAGTCGGATGTATGTAACTCGGGGACTGCCTGTACACGTTATTACAAGGTCATGTGTCCAATTTACCTCAGAAGAGGTGGAAAGGGTTAAAACTCCTATCATTTTTTTTAACTATCTGTGCCCCATTGGGGATATTTTCCTTCACTTCTTGTCCCAAAGAGGAAACTTCCCAAAGTGTGGTAAATCCCCCCATAGATACTTGTCTCAGGAACATGTGTCTCCATTGGAAGATCCCACTTTTCCCGTTCCATTAATAACTCAACATTTTGGACTGTTCCATCACTTTTTGTCCCAGTGACAATGGTCACCAGCAATAAAAACTGACTGGGGTCCTAACCCCTCCCCGCTCTTATCAAAAAAAAAAAAGTTGGGCTATTCCTGAGCAGCAGATGGCACCAGAGATCCGCAATTCTCTTACCCGCTCAGTCATTGGTCTTCTACTGCGCAGTTGCACAGTCTCATTATTGGTCACAATATCTCTTCGAGTGTTGGCATGGGATCGTTCTAATATTTCTCTCTGTTTCTGCAGCTTCTGGATGTGGCAATCCGTCTCCCACAAGGCTTGTCTGAGGATGTACAAAGAGCTTCGTGTTTCTCTCATGTAACCACAGGCAAATGCATTGCAGGTGTTGCCTATCAGGTCACGATGAAAAGGCGCAGGTGTCGGTGGAGGCCTGGAAGTGCCCTTTCTTTGGGTGGTTTCACCCTCTGGCCTTATCTCTTCTTGGCTGCTTGCAGTGGAGGGAAGAGAAGAGAAGGGGTACAATCTTACACCCTGGGCCAGTCGGATTGTCCTGTAGGAAGCATCTCGCCAGGTGGCAGAGCCCACGGAAGGGACTGCCATGGGGTCAACGGTGGGTCCTGAAAGATCAAAGGGACACAATGTCTTCATGTGCATATTATAGCTACTGTTCTTCAATGTATAATATACTAGTTCTATGTGCCAAAGTTAGACTTGGCATGTTACTTTTACACAATGAGTGCCATGGGGTTGACAGTAGGTCCTGAAAGATGTCTTCATGTACATATCATAGCTACTGCTTCTCTATGTGTACTATACTAGTTCTATGTGCCCAAGTCCAGGCTTGGCATGCAGTAGCTACTTTTACATAGTGACTGCCATGGGGTCAATGGTAGATCTTAAGCAATTATATATATCTCTATATATATATATATCTCTCTCTATATATAGAGAGATATATATATAGAGAGATCTATATATAATTATGTATACATATGTGTGTGTGTGTTTGTGTTTTAGCATAATAGCTCCTGATTTTCAATATGTAATTTTTAGGGATGCACCGACATATCGACCGAAAAGGGCCCTTTTGGGAAAATTCCAAAAGTGCAATTTTTCTGCATATTATCAGGGTACTAGGGGGCTTACCTCTCCTCTGGGTGGCTATGTGCGGCGGGGGGCACGGGCTCCCCTTCCTGGCAGGACCCCTGGTACAAGGATTGTGGGTACGCATGCGCGACAAGTGCGCGGTGGACAGGCTGCGCGCGCAGGCACGGGGACATGCACGTAGTGCACCTGTTACTGGTGTCAGGTGTGATCCTTGCTAGGGGAGGTTCCCAGCACACACTCTCTGCCCCTCTCTCACCATTGGCTCCTGATGGAGAGGCTACCTGGTTGCCTCGGTAGCCGGGGAGTGGTCTCAATCCTCCACTGAGTATAAAAGCCCAGTCAGAGCCCTGGCTCATTGCTGAGTTATTCTATCCCTATGGTGTGATCTCCCAGCTCCCTGTGCCTTGAACCTGTCTTTATTCCTGAACCTCTGCTTGGACTTTTGATTACCGACCCTTTGGCTTACCCTTCCGTTACTGAAACTAGCTGCCTGCCTCGACCCGGATTGTACCTGACTATTCTTCTTGGATTTCCCCTGTGTACCACGACCTCGGACTTTGGCTTGCCGCCCCTGCCAAGGGGTTCCACTCACGGCCCAGCCGTACCCCCTGACACATATATAGCGGTGCATCCATGTATTCTCTCCTCCCTGCTGGGTGCTGCTCTGTGTCCCAGTGGGGAGGAGAGAAACTGTCACAGGCAGGGGCGTAACTAGAAATCACAGGGCCCCATAGCAAAATTTTGTATGGGGCCCCGTGATTGCTAGTTATGCCACTTCCAGAGCCCACCTGATATACCAAACAGCCCACCTGAGAGTGACCCTGCAGAGCCCACCATAGACTCTCTATAGTGGGCTCTGCAGGGTCTCAGATGGGCTGCACACCTCTTACCTGTCAGCGCTGTCCGCCTCCGTGGTCGCCGGGCCCCGCCTCCTCTTCCATCGACGGGCCCCACCTGCTCTTAGGTCGCTGACCAGTGATGTAAGAGGAGGCGGGTTGCTCTTAGGCGGGCCCCACCTCCTCCTTCACTGCGAACGCTGGCCTCTTCTGCCGTAGCTGCTGGCTGTCACTGCCACAGCTCTGCAGCGGCTGTGAGGGGAAACGCCGCTGCGGAGCTGTGTCAGTGACAGCCAGCACCCTTACATGCCGTAGCGACCCAGGCGGCTCACACGGCATTGGAGGGATGCCCTGGCCGGGCCCACCTGTGCCCGGGCCCCATAGCGGCGGTGTGGGAGGAGAGTGTTGTGAGTGGTCAGTGTCTCTCCTCCCCGCACCACACAGCCTCCTGTCACAGATCGCTCCGCTCGCTCTGGCTCCTGTGACAGCTGTCATAGAGGAGAGCGGGTACAAGCCGTCAGTGATCAGTGATCGCTGAGTGTTTGTAGATAATTGAGGACAGAGTATGTGTACTATATCCTCAATTATGATTGAATGGGAAATCTACATCAACTCATGTCCATATAGTAAACACACAATGTTCTCATGTTATCAATGATCAGGAACATAAAAAGAGATTGAGGACACAGAGTTTCTATTTTAAAAGGGAAATATCAGGGGTCTGTTTAGACTCCCAATATTTCCCCAGAGCCCCCAAAAAATTAAGTAAAAAAAATATTTAGTAATTGTGTTTTTTCCACTTCCTGTAAAGGAGAACTATGAGGTGAGGGATTTTCACTCAGCCTCATAGTTTCGAGCCGACCTGTGACAATTAAACTGTCACACACCGGCTCAATAGATCGGGAAGTGAGCGAACGCATACCGTCGCTCGCTTTCTTCTCGATCCTGTCCCTGCAGAGAGCAATGACTGTCACTGACGGCTCCCTGCAGGGATTCCCCCCCTCCCGGCTCCGATCCCCCAGCGCTGACTGGCGGAACGGACGGGGGGCTCTGCCTCTAGATAGGCAGAGCCAGCTGTCAATCACGCAGCTATTATCTCTTTGTGGTAGGCAGGAATGCTCCTCCAATGGCTACCTCCTATAATGCTCCTCCAATGGCTTCCTCCTATAATGCTCCTCCAATGGCTTCCTCCTATAATGCTCCTCCAATGGCTTCCTCCTATAATGCTCCTCCAATGGCTTCCTTTTTTAGAAATGCATCCTACTCCAACTCCAATGCTCATATACAAAACAAATGAGCAGCCCATAGTGTACACTGATACAACACTAAATCACCTTTATTTAACATCTTACTCACATAAGTCAGTTAAAATCCACATAAAACAAGCAGCTGCAGGAGAAGCCCTCAGCGTCTCTGCATGTCGGTGACCGTGAAGCTTCAAACAGATAAGATTACGTTCAGTGTGGCACCATTGTATTTGACCTCTGCCCTTTTACCTGGCTGACGGGTGTGTGATGTATTGCGTGTGCCCGGATGTTATTATTACAGTTCTCTAAGCCGTCAGGCAGCCCGGTGGACGGTCCCCTGGGGAGATGGAGGAAGCATTCCGTTTGGGATGAAGCACCAGAGGGGAAGGGGGAGGGTGTGCAACATACAGAGGAGGCAAGACAGGAAGATCGGGACAAGAAGGTAATGTCCCGTGCTGACAGTGAACTACACATGTCTCAGGGTCTGATTAGGAAGCTGCATTCATTCACTGTGAACGGCTGCGGCTTCCTCATCAGACCGTGAGACATGAACGGAGCGTCTTGCGGAGACATCTGAGCAGATAAGCACACAAACATTGATCGCACCTTTACCCGCTCACTGTCCCCTCTGCTCACCCTCTGCCTGGGGGCCGCCCCCATGGAAAATGCCGCCCAAGGCCAACGCCTAGTTTGCCTCGTGATAGATACGCCCCTGTATACAGCGAGTTGCAGCTCGCGGTATACTGAGCTTAGGTTGACGGGAGGCAGGGGCTGACTGGCAACTTTTAGCCCAGGGGGCAAGTACAACCCAGAGGCCCATGGTGCGGCAACTTGACCCCCCTCCCGCTTTGCCTCTTCCCCC